CTGAGACTTTTTACTTACACCCATTTCTCTAAACCACCCAATCTATCCTTCCCCTATAACAGGTTTAACTATCAATTATTATGCATGTGGATTTATGCATTTAACATTTCATTATGTTGTTAAATTTAGCAGGTGTATTACACAATGAATCCAGCTGGACATTAGTTTTTGTAGTTTCTCAACTGTGAAATATCTTTTAATGAGCCGAATTCAAATAAATTAGTTGATGTTGCATTTCTTCCCTCTTTCTATTTCATTTTTCTAAATTTTTTTCAAAGAAATGTTATTGATGTTTAAATGAACTTCTATTTATTGATAGAAATATTATTTTCATAGATATATTTTGATACGAGTAATAACATTTTTTGGTCTAAAGAAATATTCTAAATCATACCCTGAGAAAGTAAAAAGGGTGAAGATTTGAATAGGAGTAACACTACGATCCCCCATTTAATGTCCATACCAACAAAATGAAACAAAGTGTATCCAATAACACCTAAAAGAACCTGGGCCGCATGAGGTCCAAGGTACTAGTGACACAAACTTTTTCCAATCTGCTGAAGGGCCAGTCCACTAATTGGCAGGCAATCTGGCCCGCGATTCGGATGATTCCGTGTGGGGCAGTGGCACCATCAACCATCCAAAAGAGACCAGAATTTCCAACAACCACTCCTATGCTTCCACGTCACGGTTTTGATGCTTGCCAACTCATAAAGGAAATTCTTATCGTATATTTTGCCAAAAAAGAACAATTATTATTATGGGACTAAAGTAGTCGCTGGTTAAAAAGCATTCAATTTTTGCAAAAAATGTAATTAATTTGACAAAAATTTATAATGTGAAAATACAATAAATGTTAATATATGCAATTATATAGTAATTTAGGTGCGATTTAACTATATTTACGAGTAAAATATTTAATAAATAATGTTCGCATTACTTGTTTTCGTTTTCTTTTATCCACTCCTTGATATTAAAAATTTTCAAATCACGAGTGTGTCATAAAGAATTCTTGTAATCTTCACTCACAGTTTATCAATACCATTTTCCAGGTGTCAAAATTTGGATAAATTCACTTTTCAAAAATTCAATCATCGAGATAGTGTTACAGCATTTGATGAGATAATAAGATGACGTGGAATAATTTGAACTATTAGATTTTAAAAAATCGGGTCACATTGCAAAATATCCAATGCGTCGGATGAATTGAATGCGTTTGAATTTTTTTTTTTTTTTTTTCAAAACGATAACATTATTGTGTATTGAATGCGTTCGATGGATGGAGTTATTGTGTGCTGGCGATTACCTTATCTTCTTCCGCAATTCTAGGCTTCTAGATTCTAGATTTTATTGTTCAATCAATCCTCAGTCAAATGCCAACCATATTCCAGCCAAAAATAAGCTTTTGCAAAAGATGGTTCTTTTGGAATGAAGTTTGAAATGTAATCTGGCCATTTGATCACTATTCGGAGTTACCTTAACAAAAAAAAAAAATTGAAATTAATCTATAGATGTTTGCAAATATGAGTTTTTTTGGGAATTATTATGACTTTACCATCTTAAACTATATCATTACTATCAGTTTACTCTCTAACATTATTTTTTAGTCACTTCACCCCCATAAGTAATTCAATTCAATATGTTAAGAAATTTTGGACAAAATACTCTTTTATTCTATAGCATTAATACATTGTTATTATCACTTTATCCTTTTAAATTATAGTGATACAATCGCTTTAATCCCTAACATTATTTTCTAGGTATTTTACTACATCGTTAATCTAACTAGTTTGGTCAAAAAATTTTAAATATATTTACCCTTTTTATATATAATTAAAAATAAAAAAAGATGGAATGGTTATTCTTCATTTTTTCACTTTAAGAGATCCAAAAATATAAAAATAAAAGGAATTTCTCAAATTTCTTTTTTCACACTTATTAATACTAGGAAAAAAAGAGATAGGAAAGAATCAGATAGAAAATTAGATTTTTCAAGGAGAGAAAATAAAGAAGAGTTTAATAGTATTGTATTACTTTAAAATTGTTGGGATTAGAATTGAAATTGAGTGGTAAACAAAAAAGTAAAATAATTTTTAAAATAATAAAAATATTTAATTCTTTCTTGTTTGTATTTAAAAAAAAAAAGAATTGAGCTCTCTTTTTCCCTCCCCTCCCCATCTTTCTATTTTTTTCAATATTAATAAGATTACCAAGAAAAAAGAGATTAATGCTTTGATTTTTTTTTATATTAAAAAGGAGAAGAACTACTCTAAATTTTTTTATTGTTTTATAATATAAAGAGGAGGGTACTTTGTTTTAAAGTTTTTAAACTTGCTAAGTTGGTTTAACGGTGAGATAAATTATCTAAAAAATAATTCTATAAGGTAAATTGATAATGAGACGATAGTTTATCAGGGTAAAGTGATAATAATTTTAATGGCTAAACATGTTTTTTCATTTTAATTAACAAATTCCGTTAAATTTGACCGTTAGTTTTGGGGGTAAAGTAACTAAAATATAACGTTAAGAGGAAAATTGATAGTGTCATTGAACGTTAAGAGGATAAAATAATAATAATCCTTTTTTTAGGGGAAGATTTGAGTAGAGTGATACGGGGAGGGTTCGAGACCTCCCACTATAAATAGTACAAAAATGAATCTAAAATTAAATGGAGATTATTTATGTATGTGTCATATAATTAAAATTAGTTTTTTTTACACTAACAATATACATATATATATATATATATATATATATATATAATTTTTACATGTGAAATACATTCAACCCACTGGGGTATACATGGTCACTATTAAAAAAAAAAAAGAAAACAAAATTCATACAACTATTCTCGTTGGTCTAAAACAAACTTGTCGAATTGTTTAGAAAATTGTAATTCATTTTAAAAATACAATGTGTCATCATTAGCTTGTGCTTGTAAAACAAGCAAACCGTTTAAAATGGTATTTATCCCAAGCTGTTGAAGCTAAAAATATTATGCTACTATTAATATGTATCAATGGATGTTGTCTATTATTTCTCCTATGCCCACTTTCTTGAGTAAGTCTGGGTATTAAAAAATTGTGAGAACGATCTTTATCTAATCTCATTAGGAGTTTCGGAGAAAGTTCCAACATATATTTAGTAGAAAGTAGAAACCATAAATGAAACTTTAGCAGGCCAACACGTTATCTACTTGGCTTCTATGCAGAAACTTTTACAGTTAAATTAACCTTTAGCTGCTTAGCATCATGATTGTCCTTTTTTTAACCACCGGCCCAATGGCTGGTGGCCACCACCAATGCATTAAAGTTTGGTGAGGTGGATGGCAAGAATTCAAATTTTACCTTCCACCAATTTGTTATAATTAAACGTGTCATTGCTTAAAAAATCTAAACGGGTGTGTAGTGCACCCGTTTGGTCCGGTGGTGGTTCAGTCTCCTCCAGGTAATCTCAGGACCTCTTCAGGTCTTCTCCCTCCCCATAGTGTAGGAAGCTATCGTATCGATAAAAAAAAAAAATCATGATTGTCCTTTTTTACCCCTTTTATATCAATTGAAGCATTGTAGGTACAAAATCAAGGACGTGTGATAAAATTTCAAAATTTTTTTATGTCTAAGTACTTATCAATCTCAGATTTGCCTAAAGAGCAATCGATTTAATCAACATGTTTTGGAGATTTGGTATTTTAAAGAAGTTGTTAAATGGTGCATATAGTGTGTCTCGACAATTAAATGTGTTCCAATTGAGCGACACCATGTAAAGACTAAAGTAAATGAGGTGAAACAAGCCTTTTTTTCATTGTATAATTTCTACCTAATGAACAATATTCTTCTAGAAACGTTAATGATTTTCTCAAAATCCTTCCACTTCTCTTGTCTCTTTACGATACACACCAATTGAATTTAATTGAGGTGTTCATAAGTTTGCTTTGTCGAAACTCAAGTTCGAACTGGCATTGATCGAACTCAGCCATTTCAAATAATTTAACAAGTTCAAACTCAAGCCTATATGTATAAGGATAGAGAACTAGTCAAGTTTAAATGAGTCTTAAATATAAAAGTTTAAACCTTTTTATATCTATTAGTATAAGATGTCTATTGTATTTTTTTGTTTAAAAAACTATAAAATGTTAATATCTATTACTTAAGTCAATTGAATTTGATTGAATTAAACTTGATCGAACTTAGAATTTAGAATTGAACTCGAATTTGAGTACAAGCATTTTAATTCGAGTCGAACTCCAGCTGCTCTGCTGCTGCATGCTAGACTCACTATGGAGTGCATACTGCCTTTCTTATTAGTATATATTTTGACGGTGGACGAACCGACACATTATCAAGAAGACATTTTATTAATTTGTATGAAAGAGACATCAGCTCTTCCTTATTTGCTAGACTCGATTGTAATATTAACTAAGAAGATTTTTAATTCTGATATTAACTAAGAAGACTTTGTGTACCAACCAATTTAAAGTCCTCATTTAGAGTCCTTTCTAGTGATCTGTTGAAGACATATTTGTTTTATTTGCAAGGGAGGTCATTGTAAATATCAAAATGTTTAATTAATCAATTAGACTATGATTGGAGCATAGAGTAAAAAGGTAATCGAAAAATAAATTTATAAAAATGTAATTTTTTTTTTTGGCAAAAAAATAACAACCCAATAAAAAGGTAATTGAGAAATGAATTCATAAAAGCACAAATTTTTTTTAGAAAAAAAAATGACGATCTAAACAAAGGTCGTTTAGGACAAAATCAGATATTACGAAAATTTACACCGGAAACAAAACCCAATTATTCATTCTGGAATAACCCCTTTCCCCTGGATTGTACCATTAAAAAGCACAATAAAACAAAAGGCCTGGTTTCAAACAATTAATTTGCAAACCAGATCTACTCTAAGATTGGATCTATTTACTGCTAAAAGAGCTGATATTAAAAGCCAAAGACTATTATAATTACAGAATTACTCAGCATATGACATCTTTCAATTGAGGGCATCTTAATAAATGAGTCAAGTCAGCAGGAGTCAGCTGCAACCTATAAAGGCGACCACTGGCCAGGTCAAGAACAAATAGTTTGTACAAGTCAAAGTCTCAGCACTCAATTTTCAATCTCATTCATATGCAAAAACAGGTGAAATTTCAATGCAAGTAATTAGAAAACATGCCAATCAATTAAGAAGCCAACATCCAATCTGCTAGAATCTGACTTTTTCCCCCCTCTAATCAATGCAAATTTCATTGCAAAAACTGCTAGTACCATTCTAGCCTTCCAGACAACTACAGCTGCCATTTCTGTTCAGTATTAAACAAGTGCAGCCTCCATTTCATGACCAATTCATACCTTCCCTGCATCTTCATTCTTGAAAAATAGAGTATATCCAAACCATACCCATATATACAAAAACAAATAGTTGAAGAACCAAGTTGATTTACATTAGCTTTTTTTTTCTTTAATCAGGGAGGGGTTGATGGCTGCTGAACCAACCTTTTCTCAGAATCTTGACAGCAGAAACAGAGGAGGAACTGAGCCCAAGAGGAAACTCTGGAGGAAGAGGTCAATCAGGTTGGCAAGAAGATCTTACTTGAGGCAATCTTCAAAATCATCAAGGTCCCAATTCGAATGGCTCCCGGTTGATGAATCCAGGGGGACTTCAAGCCGGCGCCAACCAAGTCTAGTTGCATTATCAGATTCATCACCAAATTATGTTAAGGTCACCTGCTTACTCCTTGATATTTTTTTTTCAGCTAGTTGGAAACATCATACTAAAAAGGTGTAAAATTTGAGGTTTAGAGTCTTTGGTTAAAAGCCTTGATTTTGATGACAGAAAACAGTGTTCACTAAATTAGGGCTAGGTATCATCTTCTTTATTTGCTAAGCATCAATAAATTAGGGACGATGCCAAATTGGACTGGAGATTGCATAGAATAAATGGTGAAAAAGGGAATTTCAAAAGATTAATTTGCTCACTTTCTTGTTCTTCTTTTGGGGCAGGAAGGAAGCGAGTATGATGATGTGAATTCAGTGGTTTCTTCATCCTGTGGCTGTGGGTGGTCAGACAGAGTTGCGTATCCCTCTATTACCATGTCTGATGATGCAGCAGTCCCTCGACATCAATGTTCCTCAGAAGTATCAGATGCATCACCATTATCTTTGAAGGCAACAAGATATCAAGCAAGTCACCATGATTCTGAATCTAGCTATGATAGCAGTGTACATAGTAAAAGTCCGCATTATACACCATTAAAGACTAATTATTCTGGTCAGAAATCTTTGCAGACTTTGACAATGTCATCTAGCAAAAAGGCCGTGAAAGTTCTGTTCAAGAAAAGCAGTTTTAAATCCAAGAGGAGGACTCCACCGAAGCATTCTCACATTTTGGAGGATTTGAGTGTAGAAAGAGCAACGTGTTCTTCCACGATAAAAGACTCGAGGTTCCCTGAGCATGTGGAGCTTGAGCCAGGACAAACAGAATCAGAAAGGATTTCATTTGTAAAAGTTTGTCCATACCATCATTGCTCTTTAAATGGGCATTGCCATGAGCCTGAGCCTCCAATTCCAAAGAAGCCATTTTTACGCAGAAAAAGCCAATCATCAATTCCACAGAGGAGTGCCAGTCCAAGTACTGGAAAGAAGGGTTCTGGGGAAAAGAAGAAAGGTGCTAAGAAACAACCAAGAGCTCAGTTTTTGAAAGGAGCAAATGCGGCTGTTGAAGATTCAAATCTCATTGAGACAGCTCTTAGTGGAACATCACATCCAGAAAAGGGTAATCAGGAGAGTCTTGAGAAACTCCAAAATTCTTCCACACAGGAGGAAGACGTTCCAGAAACCTATTTTGAACTGAAGGAATGGAGTTCTGGAAGCTACCAAGAAAGAAAAGAGGAGGATAAATGGAATAATCTAGCTCTGGGTGTTGTATCAGAAGAAGGTCATGAAACTACCACAAGTAAGGGTGGTAGAGAACATAATAATGTCACCCTTGATGGTGATAATGATAATTTTACTCGGACCTCTCTATTAAAATATACCGGTATGCCACATGACCAGGTCAGCATCAGCGGTGATTGTGACTCAGACAGCAAATCAAGTGAAAATAATGCATCCTGCAATATCACACGGAACTTATTTTCAAGTAAGATAAATGAAGAAACAAGCAGAAATCAGGAGCCAACCAGGGTAGTTGTCTCTAAATCTGCTCCAGCTGGAGATTCAGAAGGTAAGGAACAAGTTTCAACCATAGATTCTGAACCAGCAGTTTCTTCAGGTGTGCACAAAGGCCAGATTGGCAAGGGGAGAAAGATGAGCATGTGGCATCTGATTCACAAACATATGGTATCCGGTCTAGATGGAGATGGTGGAACCAGGCCACTTCAGGGCGCTGATGAGGGAAGGAAAATTGAAGAAGCTGATAAGGACACTGCTAAGAAAAGTTCTGATGTTGGGTCAGACTTTTCTGATTCAGATGTTCGCACTTACAATCAGGACGAAGAGAATCAAGACATTGAAATCCGCAAGCTTTATGCCGTAAAGCTAGTACGGGAAGCAATTGAGAAGATTCTCCTTCCAGAAGTTCAGGACCAATTATCTGAAAATCAATCAGTTACAAGTGATATTGTTGAAGACCAAGAACTTTCAGAAAGAAATCAACAAGGTATCTACTAATCTCTCTTGTCTTTATGCTTTTCACTTTTCCCCCTTCTTCTTCTGCTCCTTCCTTCATGCACATCCCTTCTTTATCTTCTTTAAGGTTGCTTGTATCTAAGTCTCAACTTGTACAGGTCCTGATGAAGGCTGCCATAGTCGGAACCACACTGACAGTGAAAATATACCAGCTGATCGAGTACCACAAGATCAGGTTGATGATAGCACCAGTCAACAAGAGATAAAGAAATCAGAAGCAAATTCGGGGAAGAAATCAGATAAGAAATCACCGAGCAACTGGAGTAATCTGAAAAAATGGATTCTTCTTCAAAGGTTCACCAAAGAGTTGGAGAAGGTGAGGAAACTCAACCTCAGAAAACCGCGGCAACTGCAGTTGGAGACGGACTCTGGAGCAGAAAAAATTTCTTTGAGGCGCCAGACAGCTGATGATAAAAAAAGGACAGAGGAGTGGATGCTTGACTATGCACTGCAGCAGGTGGTCAGTCAACTCGCTCCAACTCAGAAGAGGAAAGTGTCACTGCTTGTAAAAGCATTCGAAACTGTAGTTCCCCCTCAAGAAGAGCGCAATGTTCAGGTGATATATCCTCTGCTCCAACATGATACTGATGAATATGCATGCATGTTTTAGAATTCCGAAATAAAACATACATATCTATATTTGATGTGGAGGGTGCAAAATTACAGGCTCGGGATGATGCCACTTCCAGACGGGATGGTTCTGGAAACAGCTCAGATCATGTGGAACATTTTGAAACAAATAACCATCAGTTGCCTGCGGTTGATGCCGCAGACATCTCTACAGATACCTACTTGAAGTCGGACAACCTCAAAAGCTCCTCTTCCAATGATGCGCCTCTGAATGAATCTCAGAGAGTTATTAATGTTGAAGAATTCTCTTCTTTGAAAAGTGAAGATTTTGCTGGTGGTTTTGAATTCAAGATTAAGAATGAGAAGAAAGATGATTTAAGTGGTCTTGCAGGTGAGCGGTCTCACTCAATCCAGAGTGAAACTTGCGATGTTGGTAGGAAGTCAATAGCAACTGAGAACATTTTACCAGCTTCGGATGAGGACACTGCTGACAGTTTCAGAGCACCTGAGCTAGAAAACAGTACAAACACCGAGCCAGAAAATGTAGATTCACGGGGGTTACATAATTATACAACTATCAGGCCAAACTCTCTAGTTGTTTCAAAGTTTCCACCACTGGATTCTGCGTCCAATTACACGGAGAATGAGGCAGGTCAATCACAGTTGGACAAACAAAACTATCTTAGCATGTGGCACTCAGTTTGTCAGCATGTGGTATCAAGTGTTGCCAACAAGGTTGGAATCGAGCTGCTGGGGGAAGAAGATGAAGAAGCAGAAGATGCAAGCAAGGTTTCAGGCATTGAAACTCCTGCCTCTCGTAAAGGCACTCCTAAAGGAATTCACGGCATGGCCAATGAAATTGATGTAGCAAGCTATCACCGAGCTGAATTCAGCAGAAGTCAAGTGCTTAAACTTGTAAAAGAGGCTATTCAAGAGATCCTTAGTCCAGAAATTCAGGATGATTCTTCTGACACACACTCAGTTTCAAGTGAGATTATTCCAGATAAGGAGCTTTCGGATAAAGATAGTAGTGAAGGTGCTAAACAAAGTTCCACTGGTCTCACAGAGCAAAATGCAAGAGAAATTGACAGGAGTGAAGAGGGCATTTCATTAGATGGAGGAAAAGGGTCAAACAATAATGCTAATACTGAAGAAGACTGCCGGATAGCAGAGTCTCTGGAGAAAAGCAAATCTGATCCACCCAAGGCAAAGAACTGGAGCAAGCTAAAAAAGCTAATACTTCTGAAGAGATCAATCAAGGCAATGGAAAAAGCCAGGAACCTGAAGTTGAAACCACCACAGCAGCTGCCGCTGCCGCTGCCATCAGATGTAGAACCTGAAAAAGTTGATTTAAGGCATCAAATGATGGATGAGAGGAGGAAAGCGGAGCAGTGGATGCTTGATTATGCAGTTCAGCATATTGTCACTAAACTAACACCAGCCCGGAAGAAAAGAGTGGCAATGCTGGTCGAAGCTTTTGAAGCAGTAGTTCCACTGCCTGATACGTAAAATCAACAGAACTGCCATCGTTGATGAAACACTAATTTTTCATAAACAGGTAAGAACATGGAGCATTGTAGTTAAGGATACATGAAAATAAACCTATGAATATTGATGCTTTAAACCACTAGTATGAAATTATTTTCTGCCAACACTTGTAGAAGCCAGTATGTCTTCAGGAAAATGAATCACTTCTCTGCCAATAATATCGACACCTTTCCTTCAGATCATAACATGGTACAAACCTTTGAACTGCAATTAGTCAGTTATTTAGTGAAATGTGCAGAAAAAGCAGTTCGATTTGGAACAGCAACCTAAATCAGAATTTGATTAACGAATGTTATTGCAGATTGTGTGGAGGGACCATCTTCCAAAGTTCAAGCTACATGGAACGAGACGTAGTTCATCTTTCCCAAGCACATGTCTTTGCAGCAGCTTGATACAAGTTAGCCTTCAAAGATCATAATTTTGTAAGAGGGCGTATAGCTTATTTTCACATTCTTTTTGTGTAGACTACACTGTAGGATGGTGATGAACTATCTTTTGTAAGATTATTCTAGTGGTTGAATTACCATTACACAAAGCTCATAAATAATTCTTTTGTATCTGTATTCTTTTGGAGTCAACATTGAAGTAAATAATGATGGTTGTATTGTACCCAAGTTCTTATTATTGTTTCATTACTGGGATGCTAGCCTAAGAAATATTGGAGAAGGATAGGTGCAGCCTCAAAATAGTTGCCAGTAGCTGGGAAAACTATATACTAGTTGAGTAGTTGGTTCTCAGGAACACTGATTTGTATCCGCAATCACCAAGTAGCGGCGAAAAGAACCAAGGAAATTGGCAACAGATCGAAGAACGTTTTCTTGAAGTTTAGCCATATTGATGGAATTCACAGACAGCAGAGAAAGAAATTGATCATCTGGGAAGACATCTTTTACAAGGACTATAAAAGGATTAAGGAAAAGGCCCTGAAAAACTAAACTTCAGGTACAGAATGGTAGTTGTTGTTGTATAATGTCCATTCAAAACCAGCCTTTGATAGCCTCCAAAACAGTGATAAACACAGGCTACAAATGTTTAGCAAAGCAGACATGGAATGTTACAAAAAATTTCTAATCGTAAACAAATATATGCACAGACAAATTCTTGAATTGGCAAAGCCTTGAATCGATTGCCGTAGATAGACACATAATACTAACAAAAACAAAACCTAAGTGGTCCATTCTGTGCATTTTATGTACATTTCTCCACTGCATCTGTCAGAGCATAGGATACCAAAAGATAATACCAAAAAATTACAAGTTCTTGGTATTTGCCAATTAAGTCAAGCCTATGATGGAGAGTCGTGAGTTTTCACCAACTGACAAATCATAGGAATGTAATATGGTTCCTCAAATTTTTGGTCTTCAAATTCAAAAAAAAAAAAAAAAAGCTCATTGAGTTGCAGAAGAAGTTAGGAAACTCATGCAAATATGCAACTCCTAGTTGCCAGACTACTTCTAGATTTTATTCTTGAAAATTTAGCCCTTAAAAAACCCTCAACTTTCATTGTACCAGAATCGACTAATCTGCAAACTGCTCCTCAAGATTGCATAAATGGCTTCACAATCATGAGCCAATTAGTTGAATTGACGAGAAACCTAAACAATCCACTCTGTAGATTAGATTGATCAATTTGGAAAATTAATTACAAAAGAAATCCCTTGTCAAATAAATATGCAGCTACACACTGCTCCTAAAATAAAAAATCTCTTTAAGAACATGAAATAAAATAGTAGCACTGAGGTAATTCTTGGAAAAGTGAAATTTGACAAATTTAACAACATCCCTAAAGTAATGGCATACCTAAATTGTAAACCTACACCACCTGAATGAACCCCCTGAGATTATAGGGAAAATTAATTGTCACCATCCTTGCTGATTCTGGCTAATCACAAGTTATTAATTCGAAAAGAATTTTCTGACTTTGATTTGCTTATGACAAGAAAGCATAAAGGAAAAAAGAGAAAACCAAGTCTCCAATTATTCTAATTTGAAGTTTTGTTTTAGATTTTAGATCGTGAAAGTTTGACCTATAAATCTACTTCATGTTTTGATTTGCTCAAATTACGCAATAATTTAATTTGACTGGACATGTTGGGTTTGTTTACACTCTACCTAGAGCCCATCTGCACCAGGTAACAATTATCATGGGGCTTAAGTTTTTAAGAGAATTAAGCTCAATCAAGAAGATGTTCAAATGCAAGGGGAAAAATATCAATGTGAATATATACTTGAATGTTTGGCAAAAAAAAAAAGAATATATACTTGAATGATAAATTGTGTGTTACCATTAGTGCAATCTGTATTCAAATTCCCTTATTTGTTATCTATGATAAATAATCTTTATTTTCCATACTAAAAAAAGAATTTACAATCCTATTTGGATGTACTTTGTTATCTAATAATTCTCTGCTTTCTATCTAAGGGGGCAAAAAATAAAGGCAACACTAGTTAAGATACAACTCAAGTATTACATTTTTAGAAAAAGTAAAATTAATTAAGGAAGGGATACAAATACAAGAGAGTGCAATAATTATTAAAGTGATCATTCGCATGCTAGATTACATGTGATTTAGGTGCGCTAATAAGTGCCCATTAGATTCGATTAAAAAAAAAAGGTTTTTTTTCTTGTGATTTGGGTGCGCTAATGATTTCCCATTAGATACGATTAAAAAAGGATTTTTCTAACGGATGCTCTATACGCACTCATTAATACACTCACATTCCACCCAATTTATCATGCATATACACACACATTACCAATTACTACTACTTTCTCTTGCATTTATATATTTTTCCGAATTAAATCTCTTGCATTTATATGATTTTCCTAATTAACCTTATATTTTCTAAAAATTTTACACTTGAAATATATCTTAACGAGTGCCCCGTTATACAAACCGTTGGAAAAAATGCAAAGGAAAAATGGAATTCTAGAGTATTCAGTACCAGCAAATTTGATCTTCAAAGTTTCAAACTATAGAACACCAACGCCCAAACCACCACCATGCACAGTGGTCATATGCCAAAGAGAAAGAGGAAATATATATAGAATATTCGGGTTTCTCTGTGCGGCATATTTCTTTTCAAAGTCCAAAACCAAAATCAACCTCGTTATATTGAATTTTTGACCAACCTTTCTCATTCTTTTCTAGAAAATTTGAAAAAACAACCACAGATCCGCGGCCTTTCCAACCCAAAAAACGTAGAGCCCAAGTTAGTCATTGTACTAGGACAAATTCCAACGCACATCAGGATTTGACGATCTCTTTCTATAAATACACAAAAGATTCATGCATAAATTTTGAATAGAAAATTTCAATTTCTAAAATAAAATCTTTCATTCTACATCTATATTTCTTTCCACAGATTATTCTTTCTCTAGCAAAAACCTCAATGGCTGGCCTTCTGCAGTACTACTTTTTTCCCACTGATTTCTACTACCCTAGACCTCAGCCGGTTAATACTACTAGCCAAAAGCAGCAGGCGCAACAAGAATTAACACTGCCTGCATCCCTCCAATCTCAGAAGCAGCAAGACTCCATAGATATTCATGATCAAGATCATAGCCATCAGATTCTTGAAAATCAAGAAAAGCCCTTCAATGGATTTGCTCTTCGTTGTAACAGTAGTAGGCTGGTTCTTAAAGGGTCAGGAGGAACAGCAGCTGCAGCACCTAATTTCTCAACCATTCACGAGCTGCGAAAACGAGACAAGGATCTTATCAGGGCTGTGATGTTCGAGGACTATGGATTTTGAAGCTATACTAATCTTTCAAGGATTCTTTTGTTTTTAAGATTTTTTTGTTTTTATCATTGTATTGGACCTTATTGCCTTGTATAATAATTTACGAGTCCTTGTGTACAGGTTTTCTACTGCTGCTTTGACTATTAATGTTCTTTTTACGTTGTAACTTCTATGTTGATGAGTTGATCATATGTTTCCAACATTGCAATGCTAGTTTCTTTTGATTAATTGATTAATCAAATGTTGAAGCAAATACTTCATTATTGTGGGGTCTGATCAATAGGATTGCATTTGAGTTGAGGGATTTGACTAAAGAAGTATTTGAATTCAGAAATTACCAATTGACTGTTAATTAATTGACTCTTCTTCTGGTCAACAGGGGCCATTAGACATTGTCGTGTTCAACCGATTAGTTTCCAGAACACCATACAAGAAATGATAAGAAGGAAAAAGAAGAAAATTGATAGAAAACCATGTGGACAAGAGAAAATTAGCCAATCCAGAAGGACTCCCAACCTTTAAAAGGCGCAGGCTCCCTGTTTTACAGCATATTTTTATCTTTCTGAGTTTCTAATGACTGCCTTGTTTGGAGTTGGAGTTTAGTGAGAAAAAGAGTTCAAGAAATCCAAATCCTATGTAGAGGTTAATAGCTTTTAATTGGAACATTCTGTTTTTTGGTAATTACAGAACGCATATATGCAGTTAATGTGTAAGATAATGCGCTGAAATGTATGAAATTGACTTGTCTAAATGATGCTTATTCTAATCTATTTTCTTGACTTTCTATTCTAGAAGAAGTTTTGCTGCGTGTTTCAAGAAATCAAACTTTCAGCACAATAACACCAAAAAAAATTCTTATCTCTGATTTGTTAAAAAAAAAAAATCTAAATGTGATCAGCCATAGTAGGTTCTTCTTTTATGTATCACACCATAAACAAAAACAGAAATCATTTCTGTTTGATATATATACTTTCTTTGCCTAAAATCCATGAAGTAGGGTTAGCCGTGTCCCTTGGTTTTAGCGTGTCTTAACAATTTTTCAGCCTTTGATCGTAAATTAAATTTCTAATTTTGAGCCACCAGTAACAAGGAAAATATTGACAAGGATTAAAGCTAAGCAAATCTTTCATTTGTTATTTCCTCCTGGAACAGAAAAGATTAAACTAACGTGCAGAATTAGTGGTTCCTGTGCGTCAACTATATATCAAGCTTGCAATTATTCCACAAGGTTGTAAGGTTGTTAACTGGAAGATCAAAGCAGAATATTCTTGTTTACAACGATTAAACCATAAAACTATTAAAACCCTCTACATAATCTGTACCGTTTGTTTTTACATATGATCAATTAATTGCAGCTTCAGGTTAAATCCATGCCATTTCTCTGTCTTTTTTATACACTCCATTTCTCTATAAATATATGTGAAGGAAAATGCATTTTGTGGTTCCATGTGATATCATGTGATTGAAGCTTCTCTTAATTCAATGGCTGGCCGTCAATACAAATTTTTCCCTACAGATTTCTACTTTCCTCCTCAACTGTCAAGTAGTACTGGTACTACTGGAAGTTGCAGCCACCCGAATCTTGTTCCTGCTATACAACCTTGAAAAGGGCTGATGCTAGTGATCTTAAACTGCTGCCCAAGTTAGTGGTTGGCCACAAGAAGAAGAAGAAAGCTCTGAAGGCAATTTCTTCCTCTTCTCTATCTCCCCATGAGTACTGCTATTTACTGTAAAAGGAAATAGGTCATCCTAGTGACTAATGGCAAAGCTATGACCTATGGCCACTTGAGGCAGTATTGTACATCTAAAATGATGTCATTATTATGCAAAGAGAGTTATGAGTGAAGATTATGTTTTTATTATGTGCTTTTGTATTGTAATTGTAC